CAGCTTCTCCAGGAGGACACTATGCTATACCTTAAGCAGTATTAACATAAATAGACTTGTCCTATTTATCAGTGTGCTTAGATATTTTTTTCCTAGAATTTTGTCTGAAATAAGTATAAATATAACTTGACGTTACTCTTACTATATTGCTACAAATGTCACTTCAGAGCAAGAGCAAATATGCAATTTTGCTTTGTTTCTGATTACAGTTGCACTGGTATCTGCCATTTAATCTTCAGTCTTCAATATATATCTGAAACAATTGTTTTTTGAAAGGTATTACAAACTTTTCCAACTTATAAAAAATATTGGAAGGTACTAACATGCTAGTTTTAAGGTAGAAGGGGTATAAATCTCCTTTGTAAGGGGCATACCTAAACTTGATCATAAAAGTCTTTGGATAACAGATTTTTCCTTGTTCAGATACATTCCAGCTGGTCTCAGTTAAGCTGACAAAAGCAGCAGGCCAAGATTTGGAAGCCAAAGAATTGTTGGTGGTTTTGGATGGTGTGGATGCGTCACCGAAGCGAATTGCATTTGGAAGAGAAGTATGGTTGCCTTTTGGGACTTTTTCTTCTGTTGGGTTGATTTGGGGGTTTTGTTTTTGTTTGTGGTTTGTTTTTTTTTCTCGAATGAACTATATGCTTTTTATGTTTTTATACACTGAAACAAAACAGAAGTTAAATGAATCTGTGTAAGACCTATCCTTTATAAAAAAAGAACACTTATAATAGGAAAATATTTACATAACATCAGCTTATATGTTATCTTCAGTTTTATTTACTTTGTAGTGAAACATGATTTGTTTTCTTTCTTTCATGTGTAAGAACATAATCAGTATGTCTCAAGTTGTTGTTTTCCTATAACAGGGTGAATACGTGGCATCAGTGAAGGAGGCTATTCTCCAAGTTTATTTTTTTAAACAGAAACACTTGAACAGGTATGAATGAAATTATCAGGCATTGATTCAGTCTTAATGTAACATAAATGTTAACTGGTGATGTGTGCATGCTTTATCTTATATTTGTCAGCAACCGTTTGGTCTTAAGCTGGATGGAGTGTAGTCAGTATAGAAGATGTTTCCCGTAGAGGTGGAGAATGAGGTGGTGTGGTGGCACTGGTAGCTTATCTTTTCAGCTCAAGCATGTGTTTTTATCAGGTAAATGCTTAGGCTGATTCTGGACTGAAAAAAGGGATATAGTTTGGTCAGGGCCAAAACACGGGCAGGGGGAGCAAGGGGAGGTGGAAGAAGAAAGAGAGAAAAAAGGAAAAATCTTTCAGCTAGATTGAAGGCAAAGAACTAATGAAATAAGAGAAAAATAAGTCTGTCACTATTTTTTTGGAGGGTGCATGTGACTGTAGCAACTTGGAGATGTTTAATTCTGCTACTCAGAATTATTTTTGTATGCATTAGCTGATCCTTTTAAAGCTTTGTTTAAAAAAAACAAACAACAAAACGACCAAACAGAAAACAATTCCCATAATTAAAGTTACTTTTTTAACTCTTGAAGGTTTTCTGTAAGTGCAGCGAAGACAAAAAGTGGGAACAATCACTTCACCTGCGTAGCATGCCACCCTACGGAGGACTGTATTGCAACTGGCCATGCCAATGGAAAGATTCGCCTCTGGTATGCACACTTTGTTTGCACTGTGTACCTCGTAAACTAATGTGACCATAGAAATTAAGTGAAATCTGAGCAAAGCAGTCCAATTCGCCCATAGCATTGCTGTTTACAGAAGACAAAATAAGCAAAGAATGTGAACCTGCAGTAGCGACATTGACTGCAGGGTATGGCTTCAGTTTAGTGTCAAATGGGAAAATATTCCTGTTAAGCTATGCTGCATGCCTCTAAACTGTATTTGAAAAAGGTAATGCAGAAGCAGCTGAAATAACTATGGGCAAGTCAGTCCTAGGGAGAGCCCGCTAGTGGAATTGTGTGGTTGAGAACAATATGCTTGCCAAGTTGCTCTGCAGTGCTGAGTTCCTCGGTGTGTGTCTAAGATGCACAGTATGCACCAGGAAGGCACTGAAGACCTGCTAGCATCGTTCTTTCCCTCCCTTTGCATCACTAGAGCATAGGAGAAACTCCAGAAGTTAGAGGAGAGGATACTTGATTGTTGTGGTTTTGGGCTGGACCGGCCACTAAATGGTGGACAGATGCTCTCTGTTAACCCCTCTCACCTCCCCAGAAGGGGAAGGAAAAAGAGAATAAGGGAGAAAAACAAGAAAACTAGCAGGTTTAATGAAACAGTAACACGGAAGGATAATAATGTGTTGCGCCCCACCTCAGTGGGAGGAGGAGAGTGACTAAAGTTCTGTAAATCCCCTCAGGCTAAATTAAGGTGAGCCGACACCAAACGATCAGTTAAATGTTTTAATGTGAACAATTTGGAAAACGTAAAAGCCATTGGTAGTGTGGGTTCTTAGGAGGTGCCTTTTTGTAAGAAAAGAGCAACAGGAAAAAAAGATAAGGAAAGATACCACCGTCTTTTGATCCCATGATGATGACACCAGCGGTGGGCACATGGTGGGCTCATGCAGGTGGCTCTCTGAGTCTGTGCCTTTTATACAGTCCAGGCCCTCCAGGCTGCTGCGCAGGTGCCTTCCTATGTATGTATTTGGGGAGGGGCCGGGGGGGAGCATAGTCGGGAGCCCCTTCCCCACATTAGAACTGCATATCCGGAGTCCTCCACAGGCAGGTGCCCCTGCCCTCCCTCCTTCCAGCACTTCTTTTCTTCTTTTTGCAGAGCAGAACTTGCAGCTTTTGTTATGCAGGACCTGCCCTGCCACAATGTTTGAGGCATTAACTCTTTCAGTCTCTTACAAAATGTAAATAGGAAAATAACGAAATATATACAAAACAAATATAAAATCCTCCCCCTAGTCCCTCCTCCCCCCTTCATTGACAATTATGTCACCAGAGGCTCTGCAGAGCAGGGCACTGGAAAAGTCTCAGACTGGACTCGACAGCAGGTAGAAGCAGGATTCAGGAACACACAGATCTGGATCAAAGGCAAACAAACTTGCAGGGTTGTGCTCAGACATTGACCATGCCAGAAGAAGTGAAGAAGACAAGAAAAAGAGAAGGGCTTAACCCTCGTGATCCCTCAGCTTTATACTGAGTATGATGTATGTGGGATGGAATACCCTGTTGGTCAGTTTTGGGTCATCTGTCCTGTCTGCTCCTCTGTGCAGATGCGACACCTCATGGCACCCCAGTACAGCACCCATGATGTAGCAGTGGCCTTGGTCTCCATAGGCACAAGGATAATCAAGAGCTGTATTTACATACCATACCTAATAGGAACTATGAACATCAAGCACTATTAGCTGTAGAAGTGGACCCTGTCTGGAAAGACGTGCCGTTAGTTTCAGAAAGTACAGTCACTTTGAAGAGACTTATCTGAAGAAGTAGAATCACTAAATAGAGAATTAATTCTACTTAGCTCAAACTGTAACATTGATTCAATTCAGTATTTCCTTTTGTTTGCTCTGTTGATGCTGTGCTTAAAGTTTTTCCTACACAGGAGGAATTTCTACCACAAGAAAGAGTACACATTTTCCACACTGCACTGGCATCATGACACTGTCATGGATCTGGCTTTTTCTATGGAGGGTGAGTAGAAAAAAAAACCAACCCAAAACCAAAAATCCAAACAAAAACGACAACAACAACAAAACCCCTAAGTTGCAGCAGGGAGTGAAAAATCAATAGAAGTTCGAGTTTGTCCACTCAGTAACAAATTAATTTCTAGAATTGTAAATGTTTCCAGAAAGGATCTGAAATAAAAAATGGAAGCAGTTGTTATTTTTTTACATATATTTTGATTGGTATTCGTAATGTCAGATATCTACCTTCTGTGGTGAAATGCAAAATCTGACCTCTCCTTTTACCACTTTTCCCCCCACCTCCACTTCCCCCCCACCACATCCCCTTCATCAGTAATACTGATGAGTCTTGCCAGAGTTGTATTTGCATCCAAATAAAACAAGCCAGTCTTGTCCAAGTTCAGACCTAGTGGAAAAAAAATATGGTTAAACTTCACATGAATTGTGTGACCTGGGCTATTCTTTTTAGGGTATTTCTCACTGCAAAGAACTTCTGATAGAAGGAGAACAGTTCAGCTATATTCTAATACAAATACTCTGCTGATTCAGAAAGTGGTGGGATCCACTGCTCCCGATGCACTGTTTAAATTTTACTGTAGGCACAAATTCTTGTTACTTAATCCTAGTTTCTCTAGCAATTTAACGTGGCATAATGAGAAGCATATCTGTGTGTGTTGCCCAGGCTATATATGGGGAATAATCATTTTGGATGTGGCAGTTTAAGAAAGGTTTTTGGGAAATCTGTGTTTATCTGTCATTGTAAACATGTATGCTGATGATACATTTTAAAGCAAAACCTATAACTATATTTTTATTACTGGAAAAGGAACCAGCTTGATGAGTGGCGGAGTTGAATCTGTTCTAGTTCTGTGGCACAATGAATCAGACTGTCAGAAGGATTTCCTTCCTCGTTTGGGATCTGCTATTGAGTGCATCTCCATGTCATGTGATGGCTCACTCTGCTGCACCTTGCATACAGACAACAGTAAGCCAAAACATTTGAAGTATCACCTAACGCAAAATGGAATGCAAAGCTGTATGAGCTTTACTTTGTTAGTTTCAGATGAATTAACTAGATGCTACGTAAAGGTTCAATATTGATCAGAAAGAACAGATGCTTGAAGTGATCCTTTGCTCTTTCATCAGTTCTCTGAATTTGTCTAGCAACTGCTGTAACTTGGCTTTCCACCTTGGTGTAGGGGGGTCATAAACTGAGAGATGTATTTAATCCTATAAACCTGGTTGGTTAAGGTCTCTTCTCCACGGTGAGATGTGGTTACACTGTAGATGTCTTTTGCGAGACTTTATCTGCTTTTCCTTTCAGGAATTACAATAATCAACAGCAACCTAAGATTTTCCAAAAGTATTCAAGGGTTAATCAAAAGTAAGTGCAATAAAATTTGTCTTCCACTTAGAGGGCAGAATATGTCACTTCCTGTCTTAGGTCATATGTCATCTGATTCTTGTTTCCAGGTCCAGATGTCAAGACTGGTCTAGTGGTTGATCCTAGAACTAAAGCTTTGGTCCTGAATGGAGAGCCTGGCCACTTGCAGTTCTATTGTCTACAGAGTGACCAACAGCTGTTCAGTGTAAGTTGGATGGGCTTGTACTAAAACTTTAACTAAGTCAAGTAAGCGATGCATCAGAATTCATTTGAAGACATGATATGGCGAACAGGGAAAAAACGAGCAGCTATACCACAAGATTGGATTCCAAGCTGAAATGTTTTCAGCTTTCTTGCAAACTTGTTACTTGCTGAACATAGCTAAATGTTGACAGTTGAGTAAATACTTCTGAAAAATGTGTTGCTTTTAAATGTTAAAAAAATTCTAGGTAAAATCCCTCTAAATGATCTTTCTTTTTTTCTTCTTTCCTACACTTAGCATTATTGTGGAATGTCCATGCCCTAATTATGCTTTGCCCACATTTTTTTTAATGCCACAGTCCAGTCAGTTCTCATACGTGCTTTCAGGTGCTTTCTCTGTGGTTTTATGAATGATATCTCTAAATCTACACTTGACTTTTGAAATCTAGTTTTGGTCTTGTTGTTTTGCAGTTGGATGTTGTGCAGCGACAGTACATTCACCAGGCAGGTTTAAACCAAGCTGACTTGGTAAAAGTTGCATTTAGTGCACAAGGCAAGTGGCTGGCAACAGTAGAAGAAAGAGAAGAAGTAACTGACCCCGAGTTACAGTTGAAGCTGTGGTTCTATGATGAAACAACACAAAGGTAACAATAATAAAGCTGGCCTTCTAGGTGTCAAAATCTAAAGTATCGCATGAATATTTACACAGGCTTTGTCTTGCAAAGGTAGAGTTTTTCCAGATCAACTAATAAAATTCTAGAGAAGACCCTAGGGAGAGTTTACTGTGCATGCTACATGCATCTGAAATGATGCAGAGTTGCAGTAAATACAGATGGGAAATAATTGCTCTGAATCATAATTTGCTTATGTTAATCAGATGGACTATTTTAACCATAAGATTTTAGCAAAGACCCTACCAAGCCTGCTGCAGGAGCACGTGGCAGCCTGTGTTGATTGTTTAGAGGGTTGTTCACATATTTACTTGGTATTAAAAATTACGCACTTGACAGAATGGTTCTGTAGCTGTACAGTTTTCCCACCTCTGTCTAGTCCATCATTAATCAATTAGTCCTTCTAGGATGGAGAAGATTATGACTACTGTTTGGTGGTTGTTTTTTTTTCTGTAGGTAACACAGACATTTGGTTTGTACACTTTCCCTGGTTTTCTTTCTGTATAAGTTCAACAAAGGAAAATAAAGCTGATCTGTGTAGCAGCTGTGTGACTGATTGTCTTCAGTACTGGAAAGACTGCCCCGAGTTCAGACTGAATATTTGAGAGTGATGCTTGCTTAGTAATAATCCTTTCTCAGTGCTGGACTACAGTCTCCTGCTGTGTGGAAGTGAATAGGAAGCTGCTTTGATTTCTCTTCGCCCCTTCCAGAATGATCTTGAACTGAAATCTTCCCCAAGTTCCAATGAAATAAAATGGAAAGTTTCTGTTTTCTTTTCCTATAGCTTTAAGCTGAATACTAGAATAACTATGCCCCATGAGGACCACATAACAGACATGTGCTTTCGTGACATAGATGGATTGGAAGATGACTCTCTGATATTGGTAACAGCTGGCAGAGACTGTATGTTTAAAGTCTGGGTGATGGTAGAAGACACTGATCCAGAAGGTAAGTATTGTCATAACTTGCTCTTACTTGCCACTTCGTAACATGCTCTAGAAATTCTGACCCTAACTTCATCCTTTCTGAACTAGGCCCTCGAGTACCATGCATTTATCTGTTTCTGCTGTTGCATGGAGTGTTTTGTTCTCCTGAGCATCCTCTGTGATGGAATTCTCTCACAGTTTTGCAGTATTATGGGTGGGGAGGGATTGTTCCTGAAATAGCAAAGACCCTACCAAGCCTGCTGCAGGAGCGTGTGGCAGCCTGTGTCGATTGTTTAGAGGGTTGTTTATGGAAATGAGTTTTCCATGCTGGGGAAATGGATTTCTGTCATTCCTCTGGGTATAGTCTTAATTTGAGACTTCTGCTCAAGGTAGCAGGATGGGGAAATGTGATATGCTGTTCTGACAGTGTAAAATAAAATGGCATTTAGCCGTTCTGTAGCTCCACCACTTCAGAGTTCATTTTTTCGAGCATCCTTCCTTCCTGTTAGATATTTGAAAGTCCTAAAATGGATATTTAGGATCCACTTCCAGGATACTCATGTAACCATACTTCACCTCTCTAAATGCATGCTGGTGTTTCACTTGTTTCAGACAGAACATCTGAGGGATATGTATTACTCTGTATGCTTTTGGATGAGAAACACAAAAGATTTCTTGCTTCATAATTACCTTAAATGTTACTACGGTGCCAGGCACACTTCAGTGAGCTGGAACTTTCCTGCCACTTGAGTGTCTTGACTCTTCATATTCCCAAATAGATGTGGTAGTGGTCTTGCTGAACTGCTTGCAGTTTGGTACTGTGTTTGTGTTTTCGTGGGCAGGTGAGAACATGTTCAGAAGTACTTTTGAACTACTAAGGTTCCCATTTGGCAAATCTACTTTTACCAGGTTGACTTTCTCTTTCCAGGTTCTTTGCTTCTCAACAGTGGCTGCTTATGAGAAGGAAAACAAAAGCTTGTGTTAATTTACTAGGATTTATGCATGTATTTACTTAGTAGCAACTCCCTCAATGGTATCTGAAAGACTTTTTTCTTATTCTTTTTTTGATTGTAGATGATTCTAAGCCTAGATTATATCTTAATGAGCAGATACTTTGATCTTGAGTACAGTGTGGCTGAGGATGAAACCTAACGGAGTCTGTTTTCTTCAACAAGATAGTTTTGAATCTGCTGACTGGTCTCATCGGGGTGTTTTTTGTCTGTCTGTGCATTTGTTTTTCAAGTGACTCTACAGAGTTCTGTTTCATGGCATGTGTAAAAGTACAAATTAGTGCTGACTTCTGTGGTGTATTTGCCCAGGGTGGACAGGGTGGGAGTGCTCGGGTAGAAAGTTTCACATGCTGCAGCTTCTGTGCAGCAAATACTAAGAAACTATTGAACTCACAAGTAGAATATGCACTCTGGCATGTTTTTATTTGCAGCAGGTCTCTGGCTGTGCCTCTAGATGGTGCCATGCAGTTTAAAGTGGTGAATTGTTTCTGACTTTTTATAGGCAGTTCTTTTAATCATCAACTTGTAGCCATTATATAAAGGATATCTTAGCATAGGGTGATGTTCCTTTCTTTCTTCACCCTACTCATATGTTTCAAAAGCATACTGTATGAGTTTATGTATACTGGGAAACGTATGTTATGTGGTAAGTACATCTATTTGCTTTTGTTCATTTTATGGTAATTACCAACAATGGGAAAGGTATCCCAACTCAATGCACTGGCAGGTTAACCAAGACTAGGAAGCATGCTGAGGGGGCAGTTTGTGATCCTCATACTTTATGTAAATGAACCCTAAGGCAACCTGTGTTCAGATTTTTAGTAATGCTCATGTTCTTGCTACAGTTTTAAAATAACAGTATGCTTCAGAACACTAAATGTTCTATCTGCCTACTTATCTTTTTTTTTCTTTTATCTAACATTTGCCTATTTGAGAGCACAGTTAATGTAGTTGGCAAAGTAAACAGGAATATTGTACTGTGTCAGTGTCAGGATTCACTTTTCAAATGCAGAACTGAGGACAAATGGAAAACCTATTAGATGTTTCTTGCACTTAGTAGTACAGATTCTCTCTACTCAAAAATGTAAGCCTTCTGAAACAAAACTCTCTTGCTCTTGAGCCTGTTTTGCAGCCCTAATACTTGAATTCTTCTTTCTTCATGTATAAACTTCGATTAACTAGCTTGTTTATTCAATGCAGCACAGCAACGTGTGAGCTGGAGCTGTGATTTTGTAGGCAGCTACCACAACTACCAAGCTACTAACTGCTGTTTCTCAGAAGATGGCTCATTGCTCGCTGTCAGCTTTGAAGAAACTGTCACTGTATGGGATTCAGTTACTTGGGATCTTAAGTGTACATTTTGCCATCCACCTGGAAAAATGAGGTATGTTTTTCATCTGGCTTTTTAGGTCCTACTTGGAACAGGAAGAATCAATTCATAGTAGTCCAAGACCCTGTATATGTTCATATAAACATTTCATTTAACAGTCTTAAGTTCATATCTAGAAAAGACTCTAAAATGGCTTTTAGGTGGTTGGTAACTTACTGTTAAAAGTAATAAGATCAAGCTTTGCACTTTTATCTTTTTACTTCCTTATGCCTCCTGTACCTCCCATACTCATATATGTATCATTTGGTATACAGTCTGCTAATAGCCCTTCTCTTTAAGATAGGTATGAATCAAAGTGAATGAAATTAAACAGATACAATTAGTTTGGTCTTTATTCATGTATGCATGCATACAAATAGAAATTATATAGATAGACCATAAAGCCATATTAATCTTATTATTTGTTTTATAAAATAGATATCCTGATCCTTTCTCACCTCTGTTGGAAAATCCATATTTGCCTGGCAGACTCTCCCAGCATGCTTCATTGTGTGCTGCCGTGATAAAAGACATCCTGTAGGTCTAGATACTGTTCTGTTGTGTAAGGTTAACGAGGATTTCATAGGTTGATAGTAGAGATAAAAGGTAGAGACTCAGAGAATAGGACAGGCTTAATATTGAGCTTCCCGAACTATGCAGATATACAGCAGTTTCTGATCCAGGTGAAGTAACATTTTTGTTATGATATTCTTGAAAAAATAGGGCAGTAGGTGACCTCACTGGCTCACATACTTAGAGATCTGGTGCATAGACTGTACCTAAAAACTGCTGAAACAGGAAAATGCTACAAACTTACTTTAGCATTCTCTTTAAGGTTTTTCTAACTGCTTCTCAAACTTGCTTCTCAAAGTCATTACTGCAGTAACGTTAGAAGTGCTTCATATACCCACTTCCAAAGCAAGACACTGCGAGGTCACAACGTTTTAAAGACTGACATAAAGAGTCATAGAAATAGAGAGAGATTTCTTACTGCGATGCTTTTATGTGTATGTTTGTAAGCTTTTCTTTTGTGTGATCAAGTCCATTTTGTTTATACTGGCCTTCTAAGATTAGAAATTGAGAAACTTCATTCTAACACAGGTCTGTAGGAAGATAGTGGGAGGCATGCAGCTGCATCTCTGCTGTATCTGTGGGGAAGCCTTCTCTTGACACCTTGGTGCTGTGGCAAGCTGCTCCTTTTGTAGCCTTTACTATATGCTATATTAAAAGGAAATAAGTTACTCTAGAACTATATTCAATGACTGTATTAATTCCGTAACTTCAAAGGGCTATGTTTTAGTAGAGAAATTCTGTCCCATATTAGGTTTTTTTGAAAATACTCTATAGCATTGGAAATCAAAAGGCTGTTCTGTCATTCTCAGACAAGAAAATTAAAAATTAAAATAAGTGAAAACAAATCACACACTTCCTTCAGTTGGAGCAGACTATAAGAACAACTTATTTTTTCTACTACTCTGTTCCTAGTGCTTAGAACAATAGTAGGAATTCTTTAAATACAGAATTTATTTTCCAGTCCCAGTGTGAATACTCACTAGTACAGTTTTGTAACTTACTCAAGAGCTTAAAATCACTCCTTGAAATCAGAAAGTTGTAGGAACATGTAATCCTTATAGATTTATGCAAACTTCTAAATCTCCCAGGCCTACCTGGTTGTGTGTGAAGTTTCATGCCACTAGAGGTGAAAGCAAAAAGCAAATTTCTCCTGCTTTAAATGTCAGAACTAAATCTTAACTGAATGTCTTTGTGATTTGTGAATCATTACTACATAGAGAAGCAGATGAAATCTGAAGGTCACTAACTTGTTCTGACTTCTTACTTCTGTAGGAGCATCTGCTTTGGGAGACAAACGTGTTGCAAGTACCTTATTGGTGCCACTGATTATGGATTTCTGTGTTGCTGGAACCTGCTCAGTTGTTCATGTAAGATCAGCTTAAACATGCTAGAGTAGTAACACTTGACACTTGAATTTACTGTGAAACCTTAAAATAATTCTGGTTTCATTCCAGCTTGACCCACAACAAAATGTCCTGTGGAAGTGTAATAATTTTCGTGCTTCAGTCAAGATAGTATCTGGTCCAGCGTGCATGTGCTTTGTGTGCATGTGCATAGTAAATTCTAAGATGACTGATACACAGTAACAGTTAGTATTTCCTACATTTGTGTAGAAGTTGATAGTATTTATGTATTCTTATTCCTCTGGGAGTAAGTGAACTTGCATGCCTCTTCCAGAGGTTAAGGCCCTATGTGTAATTCCTGTTTGACCTTTTCTTTGGCAAAGTAGTGGGATGGAACTGAATGCTGCCTTTTCATGTCTGGCTGTTTCTGTGTTTGCTTTTCAGTGGAATGGAGTGCCCACCTCAACATCTTGGTTCTGCAACCTGATCCCCTTTCAGAATATATTGCTGCTGTCTCATGGCTCTCAAAAGAGTCCAGCTGTAAGTACAAAGGCTTCTTTGACAAGTAATAGTCACTGAAATTTAAAACTGTGAAAGCATAATTTCTGGAAAAGGTTTTCTTAGAATTCAGCTTCATGAAAGCCTTAAGACAGATTTGAGTCTGTGTTTGCACCTGTGGAAAACAGCCATGTTTGACAGCAGCAGTCAAGTAAAGCATGTTGGTTCCTCATCTTTTCTGCCAACTGTTGGTCTCCAGTACAAGATGTAGCACAGGGTGAACCATGGTCTCTGGGAGAGGGTTTTGAATGTTCTTGGCGCTCTCCTGTAAAGGCAAAACAGTGATTGAACTGTACAGCTACGTTTTAGAGCTTTGACTGTGAATTATGATTACTCTCCTAGAGCTACTGTTCTGCAGAAAAGTTAATTTCCATGTATGTTCTCTGGATTGGAATACTGTGAAAGGCACCTTCTATTATGCAGTAAGGTTATCCAATTATAATTCCTGCAAACTAGTGCTTATAAGCAATCCTGTCCAGCCCTTACTGCGTATGATACACAGGGCTTTGACAGGTATCCAGGAAGGTAAGCGTTTCATGATTTAAAGAGAAAATATTCTTGGTTTTGCAGTGTTTGTGTTTAAACCAAATGAGCCACGGCCAGTCTATATCCAGAGGAATCTTTGTGAAGAAAAGATCCAGTTTGCTGCCTTCATTCCAAGAGACGAACCTGAAACAGTTGGCTTAGAAAAATACCTTTGGCTACAAAGATCCCAACTCTTTTTTCTTACGGATACACAAGTAAGAAATAGTGACTGGCAGGTAGTTCCTGGGGAAAAAAAAGTATTTGTTCTTTGTCAAAAGCTTTCGACTGCCAGAACAGCTTAAGTTCAAAATTTATTATTTACTGGTTTTTTATTGCTAATAGTTTCTGCTGCCTCATTCATACAAGAAACTAGATAATTTGAGAATGGTGCTTATGCTGTTTAACTTAAACAACCACCTAGACACTGTATTACTGCTGATTATCCAAATGTTTCCTGTGATACTCCTTGTAATATGTGGGTGAGTGGTTTTTTGTTTGTTTAAAAAAAAACAAATCTATCTAGAGCCTCTAGGTCCATTCCTCCTTCCTTTCAGTTTCTTTGTAAAATAAAGATGAATGGATGTGTTTGCCTCTTCCACTTCACTGACACAAGCTTTGGGGCCAGTCCAAAGCTTCTGTAAGCAAGGTATGGAAATATGGAAAGCAGTTTCACAAACTGTAACTCTGCTACATCATTCTGTGTTTTAGGAGCTAATGACGCTTAGCACAAAGTCTCTAGAAGAAAGGCTTACACCGTCAAGCAAACAGGTACCTCTTACAGATGTTCTGACAGAGATGTACAGAGCAGTTCAAAAGTCAGTTGGTGTTGAGTTTGTCAGATTCAAATTCCCTTCTGTCATGAAAATGCACGCCAGATCCAGATGGTGGAGTCATAGGCACTTGGCTGAAGGGGCAGAACTCTGTATTTGCTTTTTTTTTGACAGAATTGCCGTTTGTAAAAACCTTTAAAAAATAAGTATTGGTAAGCTGCTCCTTTCTTTTCTCTTTTCCTCTGAACAAAAAATTACACTTTTCTAAAAGCATTCAAGTTACACAAATGAAGTGAAACCACTTGATGTTCTAATAAGCTCTTTCCTTATTTTGGTTTCTTTAACACTTAAAACCTTGCATGTGGCCTGAACTGCACTTTCTGGCGAGGATGAACGATTGTCACTCGATTACGACTTATCAGTGAGCAGGGATTTCAGAATTGCATTCCAGTATGCACTTCTGTGGAAAATTAGTCTGAGAAACTGGATCTTCTAAAATCATGTTGGAGAAGTGTTTCATACCTCCTGAACAGAGACAAACAGTAGCACGTGATTGATTTGGTTGGTTAGATAAAATAGATCCTAGAAGAAGTTAATACATTTCTAATACGAAATCCAGTGGGAATGTGTTTATAAGCAGTTGGTTTCTTTGGAGGGTTGGGGGATAACGTGATACTCAGATTAAGGTATATTGATCTAGGAAGGTGCCAGAAGGGAAATTGGCATGTTTTCATTCCAGTTACACAATTAAATCACTCAGCAGGTGCTGCTGGTGTTATAAGTGATCTTTTAGTCATAAGTGAAATCTGAACACCATACTTAATTTTTCTGGCTCATGCACCAGTTTCCATATTTGAATGTTGATTAGTTAACCAACTGATTTAGTTAACCAACTAAAATCTGCTTTTCTTGAATCCTGATCCAGGTCCTGGAGAGTCTTTGTTACTTTGTGTAATGAAATATCTCTCTCAGGATGCCTGACAGAGAATGAGTCAAATGGCTCAGCTGAGTTAAATTTGAGTGTAGAGTTTTCTCGCTTAGGTTGACTCTGAATTGTGGTAATTCAAAATGGGATAAAACTTTTAGATTTGTGACACTAAAATTCTACTTCAAACTTTCACCTTTTTCCAGCTGGCGGTAGAAGAAAATCTTCCTGTGACTCCATTTAGCTTGCTGTTAGGAAAGCACAGATGTCAGCGATCCCAGAAGGATATAGACCTTGGAAAAGTAGTTGTTCGGAATAAGCAAGAGCAAGATTCACCTGCTGTCAAAGAGGTAGGAATGATTACAGTAAGCATACAAACAAAATCATGACAAACAAGCTTTCCTAAAGCTTCTGTTTTCTCTTTTCAGCTCTTGCACACTCCAGCACATGTTTTGCCATCTGCTTCCTTCCTTTGCCCTATATTTATTAATTCATTGCTCATCTCCAAGGAAAACAAAAGGTAAGGAAAATTGAAGAAATCTTAGTTACTGAAGTTGTATTAACTATGTACGTATTTGTTTTTTTTGGTTTTCCAACACACTTCGTTCTTCTGTTGACGTAAGTTAGTAGAACACTTCATTATGGCAAGATTTCTTTCTTAAAACAACTCAGGTTTTGGGAGGTTTATGGACTGCCTCGTTAAGTCTACTGGCTCTGTTGCTGTTGGTTTTGCTGTTGTCATAATGTGCTTGTATGCAAGACGTTGCCTTTGGAACTCAAATGTGCTTCATAAATCCAACTTATTCCAGGGATTTAATGTTTTAGTGGTATTTTTGATAAATGTCAGATTCTCAACTTTATTTGATATTATGATAAGTTCCTGCATAATTCTTGGTGTAGCTTTCTAGATACACCAAGAAGTCCTTGGGTTTAATCTTAACAGTTTGTTTAGAACTCAAATTTCATTCCTGATTTAGCTACGATATATGAGTGTGTACTGTGAACAAAGTTAGCTTAGCTTGTCTTACGATGCATTAATTCCAGTTTAGTGGAGAAGTTTGATAGGTACTTGAATATGTTGTAGCTTGCTCCTCTGATACAGATGTATGCTTCTAGGAAAAGAATGCAGGCACAGGGGTTATGACTGTAGTACTGTATTAGGATTAATATCTTGTTACTTATACTGGAGCTAATTAAATGCTTGCATTTTTTTGTGTAATCTATTCTTGAAGTGTTTGCTGAAATCTCTGCCAAGCCAGAGATTAAAATGTGTTACTGGTATCAGCTGCCATTCTGAGTTTGTAAATACCATGAGAGGATAGTTTACACTCCCAAGGTTTACCCAGGAAAAAACCACCGGTTTGAGTGGTTTTTGCATGTGCGTTGTATTCTGCCCTAACAGCAGCATAATCAGTTCTGCTATGCTGTGCTAGCTTTCTTAGGCAAAAATCTAATGCAGGAAATACATAGAAACTTGCGTGTAGTTTCAGTGCTGAAGAATTTCGGAGTTTAGTGGCCTGTGTAAATATTTGCACGTGTAGAACTTGTACTTTGACACTGGTAATTGGTATGACTGCGCATTTAAAGTTACATATAAGGGCTGTAGGACTGAGCTTCTGAAGAATGACAAGAATATATCGCTGTTTAGATTTTCTTATCAATATTAAACCGTTTTATTTTCCTTGCCAATACAATACGTGTTTCACAATTTACCTTTTGTGAGTGAGGAGTAGATGAAGAGAGAACAGATGATTTTTAGGAGACAAATGCTGTTCTGCTGTGCAGGTCACTCCTAATGAGATCCAAAACATTTACACAACAGACGTTTGAGTTAATCCTATTAATTGCCACATCACAAATGGTAGCTGTTCTGTGTATTTCTTTGGAAGTGAGTTTTCCACTTCAGCACTAGTTGAACTCTCAAAGTTAGAAGGGAGCAGCAGTTTTAAGCACCTCCCTTTGCTTAAAGAACAAACTTTTTCTTGTCTGGTAACACACTTAGTATTGTAGCAGTTTTTAAGATCGAGTGACCTCCTTTAAATTTGAAAAAGAATGGCCTTCTTGAATACTGTTCATCTACCAGCGTATTGAATGTTTCTAATGCTGTAGGAGTGTGAGATCATAATTCTTCACATGATGCTGATCTGCATGTCCTGACATGTACTACATTTCAAGAAAGGAAAGTCTTTTTTTTGGTTAACGTTTACTTAAAACAGGGGACAGCTATTTAAAAACTGGCTTGGAATTGACATGGCAAGAGAAGTACAGTAGTTTGTAAGCAGCCTGAGGTTAAAAAAATATGTGGGAACTAATGTTTACTTAGTTATTTGCATGAGAGTTTATCTCTCCTATAGCGTGTGATAGTATAGTACGTGAAAGTACCCATTAATTTCATTAATTAGCTTGTCTCCAATCATGTTCCTGTTACAGTGCAAAAGAAGTTGCTGATGAAGTAGAAATGGAAAGTGAAAAAACAGGGGATGATTCAGATGAGGAAAGAGATGTTACTGACATGGAACAAGAAGAGACAAGTCCTGTGGAATTACTAGGTGAGGTGACGTATAAACTGTCTAAATCCCAGGAAAAAGAGCTACGAAAAATAAGAAAAATGGACTACAGTTGGATATCAACTTAATAAACAGACATCTTGTGTTTTTATACTGTAAACTGAAGCCATGTGGATTAAATAATCTTAAAAAAATCTTCCCAATCCTTTGGCCATAAATTTCATCAGCCTCTCTTTTGGTGAGAAATGAGAACTGGGGGGGAGGGATTAAAGTTTTGAAAAGCTGGTTCTGCTCCTAGTTTATTTTGATTCTCTGTGACCTTAGAAAACATTTAACCTGCAGGGTATTTTTCCCCTTGCGAGTGTATTTGAAAGGCTAATAGCAAACCGAGTTCATTATCTGACTTGTGGCCAGCAGCTAAGCTGCTGAAAATCTTCCCCTTTCAGGCTGGACGACTGATGCCAAAGCCACCAGCAGCAAACAGCTTCAGTTAGTAAGGCTACTTCATTCAGGATCGGGTAGGGGAAGTCAGAGCAGTTCTTAGCAGTGCTGTGTGCGGGCAAGTAACCAGTCTCCTCCTCAGAAGTTCCTCTCCAGCTGTTGAGACAGATGACAAATGGTTTAGTACGCCTGATTCTAAATTATAGATACTGCAGCTTTGCTGGTGTTCACAGAGTAGGAGACTCTTAAGCAGAGGGTACCTGTGTATATCAGAGCATAATGAAACCTTTCCACATACCAAGAAAAGTGCACCATATAGAAGATGTCTGTTTTCCTGACAGCCAGCTTAGTAGGCCTCTCACAGGTCAGCTGCAGTCTGTGTATCACTTAGCAATACGTATCACAATGTACAGTCAGTCTGAAGTAGTAAATTTAAAGCCTTAAAGTTAATAGTCTCCCGTGGTGCTGCAGTATGAAGACAAGCTGATGTAAATGGCACAGGTCACTAAAAGCTCTGAGAAAACGGTATTTTGCTAAAACCTGGATTGAAAATTAACTCTTGTCTGTGGAAAACCATGGTCCACCTACTTTGCTACTGCCCTGAAAACAAAGTGGAGAACTCTTTCCTCCCTCACCGTTGCTAACACCACATATTGGAAGGTAATTAGTGGCAACACTTTTCGGGGCGGGGGGTAGGATGTACTACAGCAGGTAAAAGTACCACTGCCATCCATGTATAGAAAACATTAAAACTCATCTTTAGGCATCAAGGTAAGCACCTGAGAATGGTTTTGCTGGAAGATTTCCTTCTCACATTTTAACATGAATGCAGATGTTTGCAGTAAGCAGCGCTGACCCTTGACACTGCCATGTGGGCTGTCACTCGCTTCTGTGGCCAGCAGTTACAGACCGAAACCTGGAGATGAATTGGTGCGGTGTAACCTGGAATGTGACAGCATTGTCTGTGTGTAGCAATGAGTGCTCTGCTCTGAGCTCAGTTTTAGGAGGAGGACAAATTAACTTTAAGAGACACTTTCAAAGCTGCTAGGATCCAAGTATTGCTGTAATCCACCTCTTCCCGGTGCAGCCTGTCACAGAGGGTAGGAGAGTCGAGCTACCTCTGCAGCCACCAGCCCTGCTCCCAGGCCGGCTGACCCTAGGTGAAGTTGGTCAGAAGCTCCCTCCACAGAAGTCTTAATCCCCAGAAGTGTAAGAGCTGCCTTTTAGCCAAGTGCCTTCTCCTGAGAAGACCCTGGTTCTGTAGGGGTCCGAAGAAAGCTGGTGCCTCTGGGTGCACCCAGCTCCTGCAGCACCAGGTGAGGAACAGTGGTGTCATCCCTCCCTGTCCCCTGTGGGATACAGACATGGCTTGTCCTGAGCCTTGGCAAGCCGTGCCTGCTGATGTTGGTCTACCCAGCTTGTCCCTGATACAAGATACAGTTGTCAAGAATTATGTTTTCTAACCTTGTCTTTAATATATTTGTTTTGCTTTGCACAGTATATTGAATGTACTGGGACAATAAAGACTGCTCACTTTGTAGTTCTGTGTCTTTGGTTTTTCTTACTCAAGCAGTAAATACGTTTCTGCTTAGCATTTTACTACACTGAGTAGGCACATTCTGGCCAACCTTTCTGAAAACTTCTGAAAGATACTGCAATTACCACAATGACACATTCAGAGGAAGGGCTGTGACTTTTGTCTGTGCCTGCTTTGAAATGTCTTTATTTTTTAAAATACTGAGAAGTAGCAGAAAACAAGTGTTTTGTTTTGGGGGGTTTGTGTGTGTTTGGTTTTTGGTTTGGTTTGGTTTTTTAGAAACCTTTTGTATCTCAGTGGCCGTGAAAGTTCTCCGTATTTACTGCAATGCCATAAGTCAAATTTTAATTTGGTTTTTTTTGGCTTCTTCCTTCTGAAGGCCACTTAATAAGGATTTTACTATTCTTTATCAGAAAGATTTGACACAAAAGACCACAGAGAAAGAGACTGATCTCGATCCAGTTACTTGATAAGTACAACAGCTAACAAAATACCTCCGCAACACGCAGAGGTCAGTGTTCAGTAGCTATGGGTGTCTCGTGCGTTACCACCGGGCAGCGATTTTCAGAGCAGCGATTTTCAGAGCAGCGATCCCAGCTTTACTTGGACTGAGGGACACAGCACCCGAGGAGGGCAGGAGCCTAGCAGGGGAGTTGCTTACTTCAGACGCATGGTCAGATAAACACTCGAAATGTAAGCAGCTAATCATTAGAAAAAATAAAGGCCGTATGAAGGACACCATGGCAATGGGATTTGGCTGAGATGCTGCTCCCCTGGGACACTACTCAGACGCTGCTCTAAATGCAGAGCAGAGGTGGTGGTGGTTCCAGGCGAGGTCAGTTCCACAGAGGCTGAGGATCACTGCTGTGCCCCGGTGTTTCGTGGGCCCAGACCCGTTACGGTATTTCTGCCTGACGATCATCTGTCCGTCTGACCTTGGGGCAGCCTTGTTCAGCTCTCCACCTGCCAAATCCCCGTCTGCAAGGGGCCTTTGAAAGCAGAAAGTAACAGCCAGAATTAGAATCAGAGAATAGGACAGAGGGAAACAGCTTGAAATATAACTCAGGGAGACCCCAGCAGACCTCCTAGTCCACCTTCCTCCCGCCTTGGCGCAGAGTAACTGAGGTACCCGTACTCCTTACAGATACTTGTCTGATTTTGCAAACCTCTGGTAAGTCATGCTATGATCTATGCGATCTGTTCAGTGTTTACCTCTTCCGGCAGTCGCAGTTTTTACTATGGAAAGTAATCTTTCTTTCCTGCAAAATTCCTATTCCATCTTTGTTGCAGACTTCTTGGATAACAAGCTTTAGAAAAACATGACGGCATGCTACTCTGTTCCCTTTCAACAGAAAATAACCTCACTTAATCTTTCATTTTAGCTTTTCTCCAGGCCTTCAGAAGCATCAGAATTACCCTCCAGACCTTCCTTTGGCTAATTTCTTACAGGTTAAGTATTGTTCTGACTAATTAATTATAATTTCAAGGGCAAATTTTGTCAGGGCCATTTAATACTGATCGATGTTTCTGGATAGTCCTAAAGCCTGTTCCTTCTCTGTTCTGGCTTGTTTTCCTTGTTGATTACCTTCAGCATTTGCCGCAGCCTTTTTTGGTGATGGCAGACTCAAAGCCAGCAATGTATAGCTCAGCTACCACACAGCATTACACAGCAAACACTGCTTTGGGTGCAGAACCTCCACAAGGCACCATCTCTGTGGACACCCTAGTGCATATTTAACGGTGCGGGCATTACTTTTGGCCTCTGCACAGCATTTCTTTGGGGAGCTAAGTAGTAGATTATAATTATGTAAACTGGAATTTAACCAGGGCAGCAAGGTCACTCACCTCTAAGGTTGCAAAAGACATTTAAATAAAACTAACCGCTCAGGGTTTTAGCTGCTCTCCTAACTTAGCACATAAACGGGAGAACTTGTCACAACAGATTGTCTTCACAAGAAGAAATCGTTATCAGATGGCAGAAATCATGAAATCCTGACTTCAGAAATTATTGATAAAGCACCTTTTGACTTTATAGTGCGGGGTCACAAAGACATATAACCATCAATAAAATAAAGTACTAAATCTTAAAATACTGCTTTGAACAGTGCTCTGAGTGGTGTGTATGGTTTGAAAGTGAACAAAGTCCAAGCTACTCACAAAGACCTTCTTAACATTGTTCGTAACACACTGAATGAAGCCCTTTAGGTAAATACCACGATGTGGCTGCAAGGAAGTTACCACACAGCTCTGAGAATGTCTCTCTCAGCAGTTTCCAAGTTTTCCAGGCTTCTCAAATGCTTTGAAGGTGTAAGTGGCTACCATGGAAAGAAGCTTTCCCACCCTGCAGCCAGCATCCGCTGCTCACCGCTGCACGGCCTGTGCCAACACAGCTGTGGAGAACTAGGCTGGGCGGTGGAGAACTAGGCTGGGAGAAAGAGTCGGCCTTGCAGTGATACCAGGCAATACACAAGTACAAACTGTAAGGTGTTCATAGAACTACAGCCAAGTTCCACAGAGAATAGGAAAGGGCTTTTCTTCGAGAGGTTTTTGTGCGCTCAGGAGATGAGGTTTTAATGCTATATACCCAAAATCCCGCTCTTTTCTCACAGAGGCTGTCCCTTGTGCAAGGCCAGCTTCAACCCCATCTGCAGAGGCTGGGAGACACTGGTTTGATGTGATACTTCAGACACTTCAGCTTCAACGCAGCAGCTCCAGGTTTCCCCTTACACCCTCTTCCTCCTCTCCTAAACTACTGGGCTAAGTAAACTCCAAATAAAGTAGTGACCTGCGGCTCAAAGAAAATGCTTTTAGATTGATACTAGCATGGCATTAAACGGACGAGTGGGGCTCTTTTCTTAGCTTTGAAGATTAAATCAGTTAAAGAATTATGAGTTTTTTAACAAGCAATGAAGTGTCGTTGTTGGAGCCATGACCTTCGTCCTCTGCTGACCTTCGCAGATACAGCTGTGTTGCTAAGAATTAGGCTTATCTTTTAAGAAAAGACACTGCAGTCATAAACTCAGCTAAATTCTTCATGAGAGCAGGAGCAGAAGAATAGGTTCTGAGATGGAAGTTGCTGCCTTGAAAAATAGGATATTTTTTTTTTCAGGTATTTGGCAAAATGCCTTTCCTATACTGGTAACTCCATTT